TTTTTTTTTTTTTTTTTTGAAGAATGAAGAATAAAATGAATTAAATCTAAAAGATAAAGACGAAATCAATAATTTGTTTAACAAAAAAAGGAAAAAAAAAAATCTAAAAACTTTGGATATGGATCACGTGGAAGATTTTCGAAAATGGTAATATTCTTATTTAAAAATATATATTATGTGTATGGTTGGATTCGCATATGAGATTTGTAACAGGCTGTTTATATTATTATATTATTTTGCTTAGAATATGATAATTTTAAATTAAATACTTGTAGCATGGCTAATTTAAAACTAAATATTTTTTAATTTTAAAATTGATTTGAAAAATTTAGTGATTTAAATTGTGATAAATGATTTTCCATAAAAAGTTATATTTAGAATTTATTTTTTTGGAAAAACAAAATACCACATTTTTAAATACCTTTTTTTAAAATGTATTCTTTTAAGGCAATAAACCGCACGTCAAAATTTCCGACGGATCTATTTGGGCCCTTATGAAAGCAACTGGATTGGGCTCCGTCCATAAAATGGGCCCTATCACCGTTTTCTTTTCTGTCAAAATTTAGTCCGCCGTTTGTATGGATAATTCACCGTCCATTCTGCCACGTGCGTATTCGTTATCCCGGCGCCGACCATAATACTCCGGAACTCCCAGTAGTCCCCAAATCGATTCTGACCTCCACAGAAGGTTGAATTCCAATGTGCCACCTCATCATCACGGCCGGCCAAATTCCGACCAAAATATGGTTTGAATCTTCCGGCTTGTTTGGTCGGTATTATAAAAGCACACCAAATGACGGCCTCTTCTTCATCTCCATGAGTTCTTGGGAGGGTTAAACATATTGGAGGGAGGGGCAATTAGAGGTGCAGGTGCTGACCAACTCTCCTTTCTGGTTACCAAAATGGTAGAAACCAAAGTTGGTGAGAATATGCTTAGTCTATTCTAGTTAGATCATGGGTTCAATGTTTGTAATAGCCTAAGCCCATTGCTAGTAACTATTGTCCGTTTTAGCTCATTGTTGTGAGGCTCACAGTTCTAAAATACGTCTACTAGGGAGAGGTTTCCACAAAAATGTTTTGTTACTCTCTTCCATCGATGTAGGATCTTACAGGGTTGATTTTGTTTTCTACTTCCATCATGTATGCGCCCATGGTTTTGCTTTCCGCTTTCATCACGTAAGTACTTAAGTTTATTAGACTTTCCCTTTCGGGCTTCTCCTCAGAGTTTTTAAAACACGTTTATTAGTGAGATGTTTCCACACTTTTATAAATAATGATTCGTTCCTCTATCCAACTGAAGTGGGATTTCACAGTCCGCCTCAGGTGTCTGACTCTCATACTATTTGTAACTATCCAAGTCCATCGTTCTGATATTGTCATTTTTGTGCTTTCTCTCAAGATTTTAAAATGTGTCTGGTTAGAGAAAGTCTTGGTATCTTTATAAGGAATGCTTTGTTCACTCTACAAACTAACATGAAACTTCACCTATCGGGATGCCTGCATAACAATAGTGACAGTCTGACGATCATGAGTTAACAAGTTGTGGTTGTACGTGCAACACCTTGTATTCAGCTTGTCGCAAAAACATGAAACAATTTTGAAATTTCGCTAATAATTCAAATGCAAAAAATAAATAAAAGAAAATAAGCATGAAAAACAAATTATTTCTCTTTAAGGTGTGAAAACAAGTCCGGAAAGCCATGAAGTCAAGATTTTAGAATAATTTTTACTTCAAGCCGTCACTATTGACAATTAAAAGTCAATTGCCACGCGTCAAATAACATGGTTTAAAAATTAGTAAAAATAATATTTTAAATTGACCGTTTAATTTATGGTCAACTCAAGCCTCAAGTATAGTAAATTAAAGGAATCTTTAAGGTATATATTTTTCATGCGTTTTATAAATTTTGTCCATTCTTTTTAAAAGTTCTCCCAAATCTTTCAAACCAAAATTATTTATTTAAATTATTCCCATAACATCCTTTCGTTAAATTGCTCGAGCTTTGCAACGATTTAATGCAAAGGATGAAAATCATAATTTTTTTATTCCGTGTATGATAATCATTAACTCGATTTTTTCTCAATAAAAATGATTTTAAAAATTCACTCGTATCCTCGTGAAAAGATTTCTCTCATTTGAGACTTGACTGATAGTCTGTTTATACTACAAGACACAAGTGAAAGGTAAAATTGAATCAAATACGGTCAATATAAAAATATTTCTCGAGCTCAAGTATAAGTAGCTCACTCACACATGTACAACTGAATATACAGCCGTGGAACTTCAAAATCTCTCACGAGACTCTCGGTAGGCATTATCAATAATATGTAGAAAAAATTTATCTTTTTCTTTTATCTTTGGAAATTGTGGTTACTCTTCCCCTCCACAAAGGAGTAAAAAGAAAGAGTTACAAGAGCTTGAAATAGTCAAACACTTGGCAACACAAAAGTCAAAGAACCCGACAGCGCCATGATTTTACCTAATTTCCAAGTTTCTTAATCATTAATTAATTTCCTTCGACTTGGAATCGAACTCCGTTGTTTGTAGTAGCCACTGGGGTTCGAATCCTTCATGAATTCCACCATTTTTTTGAAGAATCTCTCAACTTTTTCCACTTTTTTACTTGAATCTTTCTGGAAATTGTTATGATCCCTCCTAATTGGAGAAGAAATGAATCCATCTTTTGAGATCATCCGCCGACTTTCCCACCTTTTCTTCCCCCTTTTTTTTCTCGTAATTGTAAGCGTAGGCGACATTATAGGAAGAAATTATCCATTATTTCCTTTGTTTTCCCCTTTCTTTACGCTTTCTTCTCTTAGAACCCTTTTGGGGTTTATTGTGGTTGGGGCCCCCACGTTGTATATATGTCTTCTAAGCATTAAAATCTTTGATTTTTCCCAACTGGGTTTGATGGTTCTTCGTCATTCCCTATTGGGTTTGGGTTAATACGCCTAAATCCCATTCTTTGACTTTGAATTTCTCAACCCATCTTTGCGTGTCTGCTTCGCCGTATTCCTTTTGCTGATGTATGAATGTTAGAATAGCCTTCAACTTCTCTTTCTCTCTGTTTTATTTACAAAATTACCTGATTTCAACAATTATATCGCTCTCCTTTTTCCTACCTCAATACTTTCTTCGCTTACCAGACGGATTGGATTCTCTGATTACTGCGTAATTCTGGGTTTCTTTTGGCGATTTGGGATCGTTTTCTTATCTGGGTCTCTGCTGCTTCCGCCATTCGTGCAGCTTCTTCGTTGATTTCTGGAGGTGAGTTACATTCATCTCAAACAACCAATTCAATTTCAACCATATTTTAGGGATGTTGATGGATTTGGTATTTTCTTTTGTGGAGATTTGTTCTTGTTTGAATTTCGTATTGGTTTAAATGGTTGTATTGATTTGATGATTGTTGTATGGCTGAAACTTACGATTAGAGGGATATACTGAAGGATCCATGGCTCTATTTATGTGCTTTTCTTTCATCGTTTTATTGGCTGCGGTTTTCCCAGGTAAAGTTTTTGATTGATCATGGGCAGATAAGAGTAAACGCCATGGGTTGGCTAAGCAAAATTTTGAAAGTTGGATCTGGAGATAAAATAACTGGAAGGAATTACCAAACCGAGCTCGAGGAGGATCCAAATTCTCGTCTGCCCTCGACTTCGGAGGTGATGGGAACGCTACTTACAATCATCTCTTTTTGAACCAACAACATCGGTGGGAGAGGGGAACGAAGCATTCCTCGTAAGGGTGTGGAAACCTCTTCCTATAGTCAAAAGAGGACAATATCTATTGTTAGTAGACTTGTTTTTAATGTTGAAACTCTCGAGTTTCGTTGAATCTTCTATCTCATTACCTCGCCATTTTAACGTACTGTGGTGGGAATTTGATAACAGGGATTATGGTCCGAAAACGAGAATGAAGACATCGATCGTGCAATAGCACTTTCTCTTGTAGAAGAGAGTCAGAATGCAAATAATGTGATTGGTGAGTGCAGTGTGTTCATGTTCCTATGTCTAATTTACACAAGAATATAGCATTTGGCGGTTCACATACACGTCTTAGGTTGTTTCGAAGACGATTTGTATATTGTGATACACTATGATGTGTTAGTTCTTGAAACTCTTGATAGATCGTGATTATCAATTGGAAGAAGATGAACTGCTAGCCAAAGCAGTACAAGAAAGCCTCAACTTTGAGCCTCCTCCACAATATACAAGCGGAAATGCGTATCAACCTTATCTACCTCAATATCAATTTGGTTCCAGGTACCTCAATATCAACTTCTTCTGCTTTTGAATCTATTTAATTGCTAAGAACACAAAATTTCGAGACCTTCGGGCTTGAGAACCTTTTCGTTTCTTTATTGAAGTCTTGATTCTTGTTAGGATATGTGCTGGCTGCTATAATGAGATTCGCTATGGACGTTACTTGAGCTGCCTGAACTCAATTTGGCATCCAGAATGTTTCCGTTGTCGTGCTTGCAACGTCCCGATATCAGACTATGAGGTGAACAATGTTATCTATACATCATTCCAGAGCTAAACGTATTTTTCGTGGCTCTAGCTGACAAGACGTTACCGTTCCTTCTTATAGTTTTCTACTTCTGGGAATTTTCCTTATCATAAATCTTGCTACAAGGAGAGTTATCACCCAAAATGTGATGTTTGCAAGCACTTTGTAAGTACTTTCTAACTTTTAACTCAGCTGCTTTCATGAGCTTGTCTTGTAAAAGAGTGAGCATTCTATGTTTCTCATCAAATATGTACTTATAGTCAATTGGTGTTGGGATTTGGGATATGTGTCTCATGAACAGATTCCAACAAATCCTACTGGTCTTATTGAATATAGGGCGCACCCGTTCTGGATACAGAAATACTGCCCGTCTCACGAATATGATGCCACTCCCCGATGTTGCAGTTGTGAACGAATGGAGGTCAGTGGTCGAAATACGGTCTGTCTCTAAGTTCTTCAAGAAAATCTCGATTACCATAAATTCTTGACCGAAGTGTTAGATGTTTTGTATTTACTAGCCACGAGACGTTAAGTATATTCCACTTCATGATGGTCGAAAGCTTTGCCTCGAGTGTCTCGACTCTACGATCATGGACACAAACGAATGTCAACCTCTCTATTGCGAGATACAAGCATTTTATGATAGTTTGAATATGAAAATAGAGCAGGAAGTTCCGTTGCTTTTGGTCGAAAGGCAAGCACTAAACGAAGCGAGAGAAGGCGAAAAACATGTAACTAAACAACCCCTTTAGCTGTAATGTCTGGTTCTTAAGCAAGTACTGGGAATCTGTGTTGATTTTTGTTGTCCTTGTTAGGGTCATTATCATATCCCCGAGACAAGAGGATTGTGTCTTTCAGAGGAACAAACCATCAGCACCGTAAGAATTTGTCCTCCTTTTTTTGGGTTATGAACCAAGTTGTTCATTGATCAAAGCACAAAAAACTAGAGACTTAACTCGTCTAAAAACTCACAGGTTCTAAGGCGGCCTAGATATGAAAGGGGAAATCGAGCAACGAGCACGACATCAGAGCCCTACAAATTAACACGCCATTGTGAGGTCACTGCAATTCTGATCCTGTTTGGTCTTCCTAGGTACGTAATAATCTGCATTTTGAGGTCCCACACTGGTTGGAGAGGAGAACGAAACATTCCTTATAGGGGTGTGGAAACTTCTCTTCAGCAAACATGTTTTATAAACTTTGAGGGGAAGTCCGAAAGGGAAAGCCCAATGAGAAAAGTATCTGCTAGTAGTGGACTTGAGTTGTTACAAATGGTATCAGAGCCAGACACCGATGGTTTATTCTACATTATGTGCAATTTTTAAGCATCAAATTTGCCTATGGAAGTTTAGAGCAGGATCCAACATACTGACATAATGGTAATATTAGTTCTTGTGTATCTTACCTTAACTGGGATTCTTGACGTTCACAGGTTGCTTACCGGGTCGATTTTAGCTCACGAGATGATGCACGCATGGCTACGTCTTAAAGGTGCGTTTTATTTCATTTGGATTAGACAAAAAAATAATCCTCAACACTCTACATCCATGTTCTGTTGTTTGATACTCGGATACAATGGTTTTCAAAGGTTTTCGAACTCTGAGTCAAGACGTTGAAGAAGGTATCTGTCAAGTTCTAGCACACATGTGGCTGAGTAGCGAGCTCACGTCTAGCCAAGCTTACAACAATGTCGCGTCGACCTCGTACTCGGGTGCTCGAAAAACAATGTCTAAATTTGAGAGAAAACTTGGGGAGTTGTTTAAACATCAGATAGAGTCCGACATGTCCCCAGTGTATGGAGATGGATTCAGGGCTGGGCAGATGGCTGTGAACAAATACGGTCTTCGGAGTACTCTGGATCATATTCAAATGACTGGAACCTTCCCTCATTGAAACTGGACATCCTGTTCCCTTTCCTTAAACCATTTCGATTCTTTTCATTTCTTCATTTCTTTTGTTGGCCTTCCATATTTACAGCTAAGGCCAAATGAGTAAGTTAATTAGATTCATTTATTTTAATGCTTATAGTTTCACATTTGTCTCTCCCTCTCTTCTACCTTTGTATTGACCACGGTCGCCATACGACAATGGCCACCATTGTTGCTTCTTAACGACACGAACAATGTCATACCAAGGTGGAGATCCAATTCTTCAAACCCATTTGCGAATTTTAGATCCCCGCATGTTACCGAGCCCTGGTATTCGTTGGAAGGATCCTAAATTTTCCTTTTTTGCATAGCTATGATGAACATAATACCAAAAGTAAAATTAGAAAAATATAAAGAGAAAAAAAAAGAAAAAAAGAAAATACTAAAATATCAAGCTGAGCATAATATAGTAAAAGGGCTCGCAGAAGCCCAGCCCAATATAATGGTAAAGAGAAGCCCATGGATCTTAAAACTGAGACAGAAAAGCCCATGAAATCGCCACCCAAGCCCAAAATGGGCCCAAAAGGTTCTTTCTTTCATAGCTTAGACGAAAAGTATTGTTTGGATGCGGTTGTTAAGAGTGCGTAATCCGGGATAATAGATATGATAGTCTCTCTCACCGCCCAACTCTGAGACTTACCACTTACCACATTCTTATTTATTTACTTACTAATCCAAATATTTATTTTTTTATTTGATGGCTAAAAATAAAAAATAAAATAAATGTGGGAGGCAATTAATTAGAATTAATGGTGGAAAAGTATTTATTATTGGGAAATTAAAGGGGGCAATACAGTGGCATTATGACCAATTTTCTTTTTTATTTAAAAATGTTTATAAGAAAATGAAAAACGTGAACTATACAAGCTTTTGAATACAGTTATACAGATAATTCATACGGATTATGTGTATCTTCTCAAATATTAATTCTCCTGTTATCCTTTATTATTGTTTTTTTTTTTTTTTTTTTTTTTTTTTTACCTCAAAATTAAGCTCAACATTTCCCATTTTGAAAATTCATAATTTCTGTGTTGCCGGACAATCGTACCTTCTCCGGACAGCCGTCGCCTTCCTCTGTAATCCTAAAAACGAGGCCGTTTCGAGGAGCTTCAACTAATCAAGACTCCAACGAAAATGGAGTTTGCAACAGATCATAAGGGACCCACAAAGCATCCAATGGACACGGCCGGTTCGCATCGAGCCGGGCCCACGGCTTCCCCTTTCCGCTCCAATGTAGAAGGCTCACTGGACCGGGGTGTAGATCTCGACAGAGTCCCCGGAAATTGTCACCGCCGAGACCGTGTTGGTTCCAGCGGTGGTCCACGGGGGCAATGTTTCCGGCGAAAACGAGCATGAATGGCGGCAGAGATCCCAGCTCGTAGATCCTTATCCGCTTCTGAAGCTCCATCCATTCCTCGATTTTTGAGGTGAAATCGCCGAGGCGCCACCGGGCGAGGTCGATGACCATGACGCCGGTGTTGAAATAACAGGGGTTGCGATTGGCGAAGGTGAGAGACAGAGAGGGATTGGACCAGAATGTGGGAGTGAAATAGTAGGTGAAATTGGCGTTGCAGTACTCCGGGGCGGCTAATACGGCATCGTTTAGAGGGGTATTAGCGAGATTAGCGATGTCGTCGACGAGGATTAGATCGGAATCGAGATAGACGACACGACGGACACAGAGAGGAAGGAGGTCGGCCAAGTAACTACGCGCGTAATTCAAAGGGCAATCCAGAGCCGATCGGATGGAGGTGGAGATCAGACGAGACACGGCGTCGTCGTCGAACGGGTAGATTTGGAATTTCAGGTATGGGAAGGAGGAGGAAATGGTGGCGCGTAGATCCGACGCGTTTGCAGAGGCAGAGGAAACGAAATGGAATATTACATTTTGGGGGCAGGTGGAATGTTGCAGAACGGAGAGGACGGCCGCCATGGACCCTCGGATGTATGCGGTGTCCAATGTCATCGCCACGTGGATGCCGTCGTATGAGCAAAGTCGGTTACCGTTTTCCTCGCCAGTGACGACCAAGGGGCAGTCCGGGGAGTTATAGAATTGGGGGGCCTCCTTGAATACAGCAATGGCATCGGCGCCGGTTATGGATGAAATGAAGAAGAAGAAGAAGAAAAGGAAGAGAAGGGAGGGCGGCGGCGGAGGTGGTGGTGGTGGTTCGAACATCGCGGCGGGCGGCGAGAATGATTGAGGAAAGTAGGAAATGTAAAAGATGGGTTTTATGAGTAAGGTGAGAATGAGAGAGATGGGGACGGGCCGGTGGTGAGTTGCTTTAGCTTTCAAATATGGTTTCACAAAATATTCCACAAAAATTAAAATAAAAAAAAAATACATAAAAACAATTCTCGTTGAGTTTTGTATATAAATAAATAAATTCTAAAACTATTTATATTATATTTAAATTTAAATTGAAAATAAATAATAATTTAACTTGAGTTTTAATGTCAAATATTTCAGCTCTCTCCTTCCTAATTTGGGACTTTAATAAATTTGAAATAGTCAATATTTACTAATCTATTTGTGATAAGAAAATGTTAAAAATATTAATATCAATTTATAGGCTTCTATAAAATAATTGAATATCATAACATTTAGTTAATTATAAATTAGAGGGAAAAAAAAAGAGAATATTTTGAAGGCTTAAAAAAACAAACACAGAAGGGAAAAGGGTAAGTAAAAGTAGGTGGGGGTAAAAGGCGGAGGTAATATTTGTGCTTTTTACATGCACGTAACATTCTTCCAGAAAGGTGACAATCGACATGTCGTATTCACATGGTGTTGAGTAGTGGGTACCTTTTTTTTTTTTAATTATTTAATATTCTAAATTTATAAGCAGGTGATGACGTTGTTTGTGATGTCATTTTACCACTAAATCAAAATCACAAAATAATAAAATTGGTTAGTCAAGGAAGGATAAATATAAAATTATTCCTAATACTTTAATCAATTTAGATGTCCTATGTTTTAGAAAAATATTATACTTTGCTCCTCAAATAAAAATAATTTTATTCAGATTACTAAGGGTCTAATTTCATACTGGTTTCTTTAATCTATTGTTAGAAATCATATTATTCACTAATTTTCTTTGTTTAATTTCGAAAATAATAGTCAATCATTCAACTAAAGAAGAAGAGTAACTTTGATGCATATTTTCTTAATTTTAAAATTTTGGTAAGATTTTTAAAGTGGTTCTAAAAACGTAGTGAACAGAAAATGAAAAGAATAAAATGATATTAAAAGAGACCTGAGAATTTAGGTAATTACAGCTTAGCCACCCTAGTTTTCAAGCCTATAATAATATACTTTTTGCCACAAACTATAAATTAATGCCAACCTATATACTTTTTTAGTTTTACTTTTAATAAATGTTAAATTTAGTCAATTTAATAATAATAATCACATAAGAAAAGATACAATGAATATATATGCCCAATGTATAAAGTGAACGTTATCAGAGACTAAACAAATAAGACAAATAATTATGAGATAAAAAAAAAAAAGGAAGAAGAAGAGTCTTGACATCTATGGCAGGGATGTCAACCAGTGACGGCACAAGAATCTCCATTTTGGGCAGGGGGAAGGGAAGGCAAGCTTTCATGTTCTAATTTTGGGGGCCTGGATTTTGCTACCAATACCCACAGAATTTGGTTGGTAACCAGATTGACTAGGGAGCACGGCCGGAGGCCTTCCTTTGTCCCCAACTTACCCCGTTGACACCTCTAGAAAAAAATCTAAGAAACAGACATCCTGAATAATTTCCATATGCTCTGCCCAGCAAAAGATGAGCAATAACAAAAGTAACAGCAAAAGATAAATGATATGTCAACTAGCATAAACCATTAGCAAAAAAATCCATCATAGATCTAAACGCGAACCTTGAGTAAAAAGAAAATAACATATAAGTCTAGCAACAATATCAAGTACTTTGTTCTCTCCAACCGATGGAAGATCTCACAATCCACCTCCTTCAAGGGTCCAGCGTCTTCGCTGGCACACCGCTCGGAGACTGATTCTGACTTGTAACCGTCCAAGCCCACCACTAATAGATATTGTTCACTTTGGCCCGTTACGTATCGCAATCAGCCTCACTGTTTTGAAATGATCTACTAGAGAGATTTCCACACCCTTATAAGGAATGCTTTATTCTCCTCTCCAACCTATATGGGATCGCACGCACTAATATGATAAACATGGTCAAGCATCATCCAGCTTAAAGATCTCTCTTCCCGGTAGTTAGTTCCCTATAAATTAAACCAAAAGGATCTTGAAAGCTACACACCGAACTACTGGTTCCCAGCACGGTAACAGGGAATGATCCTGATGATCCTGCTTCTTGCTTTAGTATACTGTCGATGTTGCATGAAGCTAGTGCAAGACTAAAATTCAAACATACACAGCTGGAATTGAAGAATTGGAGAATTATAAGAACAATAGACATGGATACAACCACCACTAAATAACCAAGTTTCAGGTAATATTTATACCATGTGCAGCTGCAACCCCATTTGCCCCTTAACTTCTTCATCAAAACTCAGGATATGCTATATTGACCAAAATTAAAACAGGAAACACATAAAACGAACACCTGAGAAACCACTTACAAACAAGTCATCTTAAGGGAGATTGAGCAACCAGAGCATGTCTTGTTCACTCTGCATGTAACTGCATTTGGTGGTCAGCAAGTAAATGTGTGTATATATGTGCGTAAATGAAAACCTTCAAATACAATTGCATAAGTATGTCAGCTGATGTTCATCATGCCGAACTCAAAAAGCCGATGTCCATTTCAACAAACAGTATGACTAATCAGGACGAATAATGAGATGTCAAGGCAATGTAATAGCAGATCTTTTTGAATTATTACATTAGAGATTGAATTCACTAAACACCACGAAGTAATATAAGCCCTTAAGGACCCTCCTTTCATCTATTGCCAGATTAGGGCAAGAAGAACACAGAAACCAATAAACAAAAGCAGCCGCTTCAGGTAATAATCTTGCTGACCTTGACGGAGATGGTGATAGTAGCCATGGGCGTGACCATGGCTACCATGAAACATGTTAGGAAAACCATATGGAACGTTAGCACCTGCACCATACATGCTTGGATCTGCATATCCATGCATCTGAAAGTTGAATAAAGATGGGACAAGACCACCAAAAGCCGCAGACAAAGTGAAATTGCCAAACCTCGTCGATGCCATTGGGGCAAACCCACCAAGACCTCCCATGAATCCAAACCCATTGTGGGGAAAAGGATTTGGTTCTGGGGGAGGGCCTGCTGCTTCAGGTCTCTGTCCAGAAGGACGATTAGGAATATTGATTCCAGGAATACTTTTCGATCTCGGGTCGGTCGATGTCTTTCCCCTACCATATAAGGGAACCAATTTTTGTTCTTCTATGAGAGCCTTGCAAACTGGACACTCCTGGGGATGGGAATGAATGTGCAGCCACTTGTAAAGGCATGGCCAACAGAAAAGATGACCGCATAGGGTTACAATAGGATCCTGAGCTAAATCCAGGCAAATATTGCATTCAAAATTACTAGCATCACCATTGTTATCGGAATAAGAAGGGCCTTGGGGTTGCCTACTTGTCGATTCCCCAAACCCGCTCGCCATATCTGCACACCCTACCTATTTAATCACATTACTTCACGAAATTGAGATGAACAAAATTCACAAACTCAATCGGAACAAATCCTTCTACCAACAGAAACCAATTGGAAAATCTAAAGAGAATCAACCATCATAACAATGATCCACCAGTACAACAATACAAGTAGGACAAATATACAATATAATCTCGAATCCTAGGAAGAAGTCCCCAAACGGAGACCAAGCGAATCAAATTCAACGGAAGGAATCCAACTTAAAAATAAACTCAGAAATTAAGATACAATTACAAAAAGAATCGGAAAAATGAAACGAACCTACTGATTAACAAAAACAAACCACTCGATACCTGCGTTCCGATATTGATCAAAGAACAAATCTGAAACCGAAGACGAACGCATTTGACGGAAACTAAAAAATATACGTTCGAAATTGGAAGCTTCTCGCGGCCGTACCATAAACAATATTCACTGCGTGGCTATTACACTTTCACCCTGCTCGTCCACTTGTTCCCACGTGTCATAAGATTACTGATTATATCTTCAAACTATTAACGGCTGCAAAAGAGAGTATTGTTGTCCTATACTCGCAGTGGGATAAATATGCGGATAAAACCAATTTTATCCTATAAAACTCGATAAATTACCTATTCTCAACATTTTGTAATTAATATATTCTGTCACGTTACCAAATGAAAATTATAAAATTAATTTATTTAATTTATTTGAAAATAGTTTTAAAAAATGTGTCCAATAACAAAGGTTAAAATAAATATCAGTAATACAGACCAAAAAAAAAAAAAAAAACTCTTAATTTAACGGTGTATAAAAATGCGAAAATTTGAACTTCTGACCTAAAAAAATAGTACATGTCGGTGATGAATAAATTGAGTATCGTGACCAAAATAATGACAAAAATGTCCCTGTGGGTTGGTATTAGTTGATGTGGAAAAGATAGGTGAAACAAAATTATTTTATTTTTTTATTTTCAAAAGACAATAATATGGTGATAAATTTGATCCCACCAAACCAACCGTCTTTGCCTCCTCAAATCACCCAATTTAGAAGTCGGTGTCGTTTATTTAAAATTAAATTTAATATTCATATTTGTCCATTTTGGAAATAAATGATTTTTTTTTTTTAATTTTCCTTTTCAGTTGGTATTAATATAAGTACGTATTGAAATTGGGTTTATTGCGAAACGCCCAAAATTCCAATGCCGACGGTTCCCATGCTGCGATATTGGCTATCCGAGCACCCTTCCATTGTCAACTTCCGCTGGAGCCACTCCCAATCATGGGGCTCCACGTGGCCCTTCCTCGTCGCCGCCGTCACCTTCTACGTCGTTGCCGCTGTCATCCTCCATCTTCTAATGATCCTCCTACGCCGCGTTCGCCAGGTCCCACTCGGCCCCATTCCGGCCATCCATAGTCTCTCCATGGCCGTAATCTCGGCAGTCGTCTTCACCGGAATCCTCCTCTCCGCCGCGGCGGAAATTCGTGACACCCGCTGGCTCTGGCGGCGGAGCAGAACCAAAACCACTCCGTTTCAGTGGCTGCTCTGTTTCCCGATCGGCACACGCTCCTCTGGGCGCGTGTTCTTCTGGTCGT